TTCTTGTTGCAGTGGGGATCAATGCAGTTTTTATGCAGACATACATTGGGGGAGTTTCATGCCCTTATATTTGCTCTAGGAATTTGTTAGACCATGGAGTGCTTCTGGTGGGGTATGCATCTGCTGGATATGCCCCAATCCGGTTCAAGGACAAGCCTTTCTGGATTATCAAGAACTCTTGGGGAGAAAACTGGGGAGAGAATGGATATTACAGGATCTGCAGGGGACGAAATATATGTGGGGTGGATTCCATGGTCTCAACTGTAGCTGCCATGCGCACAACAGCACACTAGATTCTTATAAGTATTTCAGACCTTCAGTAAAAGAGTGTATCTATGCTCAGTAGTGTCAAGAGACTCCTATAGGAATGCTCAGGGAAGAACATATAGTCATATGGTCCTGATGTTGTGTGTGACTTATGTTATGTGTAGGAAAATAATATGCTAATGTTATCTAGACTCATGTTATACGTAGGAAAATAATATACTTATGCCCTAGATAATTATGTTTTTCGTTTTATGTTCATATACAATTTGACATACTAAACCCATGAACGGAAGGCCGAAAAAAGACCTGGATAATATTCTCTTTTCATTAATTTAAAGAGATCTTGCAAAACCCTGAAAATTTTAGTTTCTATGTTACTGTGCAGCATACGGACATGAAATAATTTATTACAACATGAATGAACATATATTTATTTGCAGCGTCAGTACGGATTTCCCCTAGAAAAGGGGAAAAATATACAAAAAGGAGGTTGGATCTCCGGTGGGATTATCCAGTTCAAAGTACAAACCCACAGGCCACAACCAAAATTCGTGGAAATTTGCTTGAAAGGTTTACCTATTCACCAAACCATCACTCTAGCCTCATTGCTTTGCCACATTCTCAAAAATTTCTGGTGTAATAGACAAATTTGACTGCTTCATATGCTACAACCAATTTTTTAAGATTGAATTTTGTATACTACCCTTTAATGGTGACTTAGTTTTCAAGTAGTTCTTTATTCATCCTCATCCTTAAGTTATGCAAATGAAAATGGCTGGAATTTATAACCATCTCCCTCATAGTACTTATTCTGGAACTCCACCCAGTGAAGCCTCAGTGCATGGAACAATGCACTGAGGGTTTCCATAACTAATAGCACACCAACAGTTGCACATATAAATACAATTATGCCAACAATAAGGACAATTAAATTGTTAAACCTGCACGCATTCATACAACAATCATCATCCAAAAAATAAATTTTAATTATCTAAAATAAATTTGTTATTTAGATCTCAAGTCCTGTTTAGATAGCAGAAGTGGACAACTTACCCCCAAGCAAGAAGCAAAACCTTGTCATAGAATACACTTGACAGCTCTGAATGGGCTAAACTGTTGAAAATAAAACCAAGCGGACAAAGGAGAGCAAAATTCAATATCAAAAACTAGGGATGCATCCTTATACTGTATATAAAGTGACCTTAAGTTGTTAACAACCTACCTGAGGGCCCACAACCGTAAATATGAAGCTGTATTGGACACTGCTCCAAGCACAAATTCTATAGTATGTATAAGTTGGTGTACAAAAACCTCGCTGAACTCAAATTCTTCATGGCTACAAGAATCATGATGTGTTTCCATTTCAAGAGGATCATCAAAGTCGTGAAGCAATGCGTAGGATTGACCTTGGTGCCTCTGAAGTAAAAAGAAATCACAAGGTAGGGTATTTTCAAATAGAGGGGGAAAGAGGGGGAAAAAGACATGTGGTTAAGTTTAAGAGGAATAAAAGCACATATGTAATGCACACTAGGCATTTCCACGTATTGATTTTTTAGGTGCGTTTGTTTGCACGAAGTGTTGTCAGAGGCATACTTCTTGGTATTGCTTTTTCAAGAGAAAAGGCTTTGGAAACAGCATCCAGGGTACAGCAACAAGGGCCGACAGCAGTAACAGTATCTAGTCAAGAAACAGGAAAAATTTTAGTCTCATACAAGGGAAAGAGATAACATGGTTATGGATATGGAAGACAACAGAAAAACAGACCTGAAGAAACTTCTGGCCAACAAAAAGCTGATTTTCACCAAGATCATCACTAGGACTCAAGAACATGTATATCATCAAATGATAAAGATCAGCTTGTGAGCCAGTGCACCATTTTACAATTGAGGAGTGACAAGTAGCCAAACAAGCTGTTTAAAAATATCATTTGGGGAACAAACTGGTACCTATAGCAAAATCAAACTGAAATTCACTTCTTAATAACAGGGGTACAACTCAACTCTCAGTCAAAGCAAAATCAGGATGCAGCAAAGCAAATACTTCATATGCTCATGGCACATTCATCTTGACAAACAAATATGAACTTCCATACATGTCCAATTTTTCTTACTATAAAGATTGTGAAGCTACGTGAGGTATAATAATTGCCCCTCAAAAATTGAAACAGAGGAGCGTTTTGCACAGTATTCATATAAATATGCTCGAAATACAAAACTATAAGAAAAATGGCTTACCAGATATTTAGCTCATTTTGGAAAAATTTAGCATTAAAGTAGCTTAGTATAATCCCAAGATCCATCTGGGCTACTCCGAGTAAAATTGACATCTTCATCTTCAATGAGTTCAGAAATGGTAATTCACTCCTAGTACCATGCCACTTAGGATCCACACCAAATGGATAAGTGGGAGAAACCTTTAACAAACCTGCTGTAGAAGCATCACTGAATCCAGAAAAATGAATTGTGAATAACTCAAAGTGAAGAGAAGATTTCTTCTGGGTTTCTATCTGTTTGTAGCATATAGGCAAGTACCTGCAGGTAGGGTCACGGCATGCATAAGCAGAGGGCCCAAATAGTTCAAATGGGACAGAAAAGAATTCATTATCTATCAATCCTGTGTAGATAGAGAACAATGCCATCATCATGATAACGTAGCGACTGCCAAAAACCATTACTGTGATGTGTCTCCTAGCTTCTGTTCAGGATTAAAAAATTAAAATAATGTAATCAGAAAACATGCTAACATGAAGCTTGCTGTCAGGAGTAGCAGAAAGCTATTCACAGTTATCTGACTAGAGAATTTCTTTTCTCTGTTTATGAAATATAGCGTAGCTAGATATAAGCATGTACCATGGCCCCAGTCACCAAACATAACAGCAAAAAGGAAAGGGAATGTGATGATTGTGAATATACCAGGGTTTGCTTCCTGATACTTGGCAACCCTGCAGCAATATTTTATTAGGCAAGTATTAAAAGTATAATAGGTTTACTTAACATTACAATTTAAAAAAAAAAAAAAAAGGAAAAGAAAAAGGGAAAAGAAAGTAGAGAGCAGATACAACATTTAAGAATTGGAAACTTACTCATATTAATGCTAATGATATCTACAGCTACAGACCAATAAATCGGACTTTTGAAAACGCCAATAAATCTCATCTAAATAGAATATGAACTAATTATAAAAATGACTTACCCATATGCATCGACAATTTCTTGAAAAGCAGAAGTAAATTTGTTTGTACGGAAATAGGTAGGTGGTGATTCTTTTGTCTGCAGAACGTGGAAAATGGATCCAATGGGTGCATTGCTGTCTATCATTGCCTACTGTAAGTATTTTGAATCTGCAAAAATGAATCCTAATAAAATTAAATAATTCATCCAATTCAAGCTGATGTGCTGAAGATTGGAGAAATGCAATGCAGCTCAATAAAACCAAAACATTTACATTTTAAAGGAACAAACCTGATTAGTTGCAAAAACAGGACATCAACCTTCAGCAACAAGGCATTTTCTAGTCAGATCTATGCTGAGCATATTTAAAGTGTGATATATGGATTTTTCCTTCTTCACCAACACAAGTCAAAAAAAAAAAAGTTAAATGACTCAACAAGGCACAATTCAACAGAACTCAACAATGCCAAGCACATGCATCAACATTCTGAGTAGGACATGAGCTGGGTAAAGAAAGTAGATGCATAGGCAAGTCAACAAACCAAAAGGTTCCAGTGCTCAAATTGATAACCAATTGTCTGTAATAGATTCCTTTGGTGCACAAGTCCAACATCTATGGTAGTCTTTAGATCCTCAAGTCTTCCAGACACCTAGAAATTAAATTGGAGTTTCACAAAAGTGAGAATGCACTCGAAGGAAAAAGAGGATGCAAGGAGTGGATGCCAGACAAGGAGAAAAGTATAGCTCTGTAATCATCTGAAATTGCTTTCCTTAGTCCTCTTTGTACTAGTATAAGTTTGCTCCAAATGCTTCTCATATTTTTGTAATTTTGTTCTTTGCTCTCTCACCAGAGAAGAAGATAACAAACACATTTTTCTCAACCTGCAATCAAAAGAGGGTAAAAACTCCAATCTCTGAACATAAGATGATACGAATGAGCAGATAATACACAGGAAGAAAAAGAGATAAGCATAATATGAGGACACAAATCATGTAATTAGGCATTAACACATTTGTTCCACACTAAGAAGTTGAGAATCTAAAATAGTGAATTAAGGCATTAACCTCCTCTCCAGATGCAGGGTCAATGACAGGCTCTTCAACTGCAGATTGTTTCAAGAAAACATCTCCCCTGGTTGCTGGGAACAGAATCCTTTCAAAAGCCATTGCTTTTCCTCTAAGAACAAGGCCACTGAGAAAGCCCAGCTTAACCTGCTTTGATGGATCTGTGACCATTTATTGCTCCAATAGTAATGGACTGTCAATGGATCCTCCACCACTGTACTGAGCATCAGTTGCCTTCTGCTGAGCAGCAGCACTGCTTTGAGCTGAATGAAAAATCTCACTAGCCATCTGCAGAACTAGCTTATATTCTAACAATTTACAATAACTCTGCTGCAGCTTCTCACAGTTAGCATTCATCTCCACAAGCTCTGATTCAAGTTCCCCAAGTTTCACTTGGCCATACCAATAAACCACCATAAAATTCTCTTCACACGTAATAATGAAAAGCATTAAAAGCCGATATAACAGAAACCTTATACCTAGCATATAGTATACCTCCAAGCTATCTAGATCAATACCACCACTTCTGAAAAACCATGCGACCATGCTGGCAGTGACAAGCCAGCCTTGGTCATTTGCTCCCTGCAAAAACGCAGCTTGCGAGCCATTTCACCACATCTCTTCATCTGTATGATAATAAAATATGCATATAGTTGATTATTCTCTTTAGCACATGCATCATATAAACACACAATTAAAACATACAGAATTTAACTAATGGATCCAGATAAAAAAAAAAAAAAAAGTAATGGCTTTGCATAGAAAGTAAATTGGCAAGACAAAGGAAAGTACTTGATAGTTTTTTTTTTTTCCTAATTTAACCAGATTAATAATTACCATTTTATAAGATAAATCTTCACCGGACACTATAAACGCGCACCGGAGCAGCATAAGTTCGTTGGAATGGACTCTTTTCAGCGTTGAACTGGAAGGGAAAAAGGAGGCAACAAAGACATTAGATCAACAGATCGAAAACTGTAACAGGATCAATTTCCACAAAGACAAAACTTCAAAATTTCATAGATGAACCGAAAATGTTCTTCAAATGGAAATAACGAAGCATTTTGAGGCAAACAGAGCAATTGCTCCATGAATAACGCAAATGCGAAGACATTAAAGCCAAAAATTCAGGATTTTCGCCATATTAAATCGAATCAAATAGAACTCACGCCTTTGAATTGGAAGAGACCGAGATCGCCGAGATAAGAAATGGTGCGATGAGCTGCTTTCATCTGAATAATCAGTTGCGCCAACTGCATCGACTCCAAACGCAGCAGATCCATCGTCGGTGAACTCCCTCCCTCCCTCCCCCACTATTAACCAAATCTCTAGTAAATTTCATAAAAAATTAAATCAAAAGATACAATGCATGCTTATGTACAGAGGACGCCTAGCCGGTGAGAATACGTCGGAGATCAGTCCTCATGCACTACCAACAACCGTCTGGTAACGTCCCTGTTTACTTTGCTTTCCGTATATAATGTTTCCGGTTTGCTGTGGTTTACACGCGCTAAATTTCACCCGCGAGAAAAAAAAATGACCATACGACACCGTTCTTGAGCACCAAAAAGATAAACGGCTAATACGTCTTCATGGTCCCTCAAGTACAAGGCCATTGAGACTAGCTATCCCTAAAGTTTATTCTGTAACATAGAGGTCCAAAGAATCTTTAATTCACAAATAAGTCCTTTATTCACGTTTCTTTTTTGGTAGTTAAAGCTCTTAATACACGAGGAAGCAAAACAAGTCTATTTTGTCAAGAATTTATTAGATTTAACCTATCAAAACTTTTAACTTAATTACACTACCCACCCTAGGTTAGGTACATAATCAATGTTAACCCGAAATTACCAATAATTATCAACATAGGGTTGTGAATTAGTCCGATGCAGGAAGAGTCGACATGTCAACAAGAGTATTTATGAAATAATATTTCTATTTGAACTCACTTTTTTTTTTTTACAAATAACAATGTTCACATAACATTAAATAAGAAATTGTATATTGATTCAAATGTTCTCGTTAAGTTATAAAACCACAATTACACTATTATGCAAAAGAAAAAATTATTATGTAATTTAAATTGCACTGAACTAAATATACAATAAAAATTATTTGATAAGAAGTGGGCTCCAAATAAAATCCTACATAGAATAGTGCTGTTAAATAAAATTATGAGTAAATTTTTTTTTTTTCTATTTTTTTTTCTTTAACATCAAGTGAAGTATTTGGATTAGACAAGTGCTATCTACACTTGCGATGGATCTAAATGTACAAACAGTCTTGCTCTCGTTACTCGACTCTATTTTTACTTTCATCTTTAAATTTTAGGAGACTTTTTTTCATAAAAACATATAGAAAAATATAAAAATTGATATTAATTTTAATATTTATGTCAAATAGATGAATTTAATTAAATAATTAATAAATTAAAAGTCAAATTTTTAAATATAAATTTATGACAAAAAAATATTTATTATATCCTAAAAACAAATTTAAAAAAATCTTAATTTTTTTATGAGTTTTTTAACTTATATATTTATGACACATGTTGAAAAAATAATAAATATATCTGTTGTCATAAATTTATATTAAAAACATAAAAGTTCACATTTAGTAATTTATCAATTATTTAATTAAATTCATTTATTTACATTAATACTAAAATCAATATAAATCTTTATATATTTTTTTATATATTTATAATAAAAATATGTTTTTAACGTTAAAAAAGAAAAACCTTTTTTTTTTTATTTCTAAAATTGCACTCGAGTGAATCACAGCTTGAGTGCAAAGCCGCACTCCATGCATTACTCCGTGGATTATTGAATTTATATCAACCCATTGGGATGAGTGTCGTGAACTGTAAACGCGTCTAAACAATCATAACTGATACGCGGAAACTAACAAAAGGAAGCTGGGTTAATATGCAGCCCATACTTTGAAATCCAGACGGCGTGCTTCAATGGTTGCAGCAGCGCATGCCATGGGCCTTGCATTGAACAGGCGGCTGTACGCTGCCATCTTCCGACATAGAAAACCACAAAAATCAGCCACCGTGATGAAAACACTGTTCCTCTGGACCACACACACAAACTTGCAGCCGAATTGGGAACAGGACGTAACCCCAATAGCTGTAGATTCGCATGTCACTAAATGTTTCACGAAGCCTACACATAGCGCCTACCGCAAGAAACCCGTGTAATTTGCCTCCATTCACTTTTAGCTCTTTTCTTTCTGCGCCGCGGGACCAAATTCCCCTGTTTCTTCTGTAATTCTGGCCGATTCATGGTACTTGGATTGACCGAGCAGCAGTGCTACAGTATCCATTTTCTTTCAACAAATTCCAGTCCCTACCATGAAGATTATGACCTATCTGTTTTAGGGTTTATTATCACTGTTTCTGCTTAATAGAAAAGAACCTTTGTCTCTTATAATAATTAATGCTTCAAACTACATATTAGAGCTTTTTTTTTTTTTTTTTGATAGGTACATATTAGAGCTTTTGGATTCGAATAGGTTTGAATTTAAGGTAAGACTATAAAAATTAGGAAAATAAGAAGACTAATATCATTTACAACACAGCTCTAGCCCATACTCAGATGCGAAAACCATCTTCATTACACATGCTTTGAATTGAATCAATTTCGTCGTTATATATGTGTATCATTTTCTGCTTAAAGTGTCATTTTTTGGGGGGTCTTGTTGTGTTCATCATTTTTGCTTCTTTTGGATTTTCCTTTTAACTTCCTTTTTGATCCTTTCTTGAGCAGCTGGGGTATAGACAACCGACCTTAACTAAAGTCATTTTATTTCTAATATTCTGCTGGCAAACTAACATCTTTTGCCCTTTTGGGAGGACTTTTAACTGTTACTGCAATTACTTTTTACCAAAACTCGAAGGTTTATTGTTCCTCCTACATCTTTTTATGAAAAGAAGGAAAACATGTAATAAAGAAACAACCATCCATTTTTTTTTTTCTTCTCATCCTCTGAGGTCCCGGTTGAGGAACAGGGAACTGAAGTTCTTTCTACCGACTACGTACCTAGTAATACTCTGGTAGGAAGAGGAACTGGTTGTTAATAAAACCCTAATTTCGATTAATTTTAGAAACCTCAATCACATATATATATATATATTAACAGAAAAGCAGCTAACTAAAATTTTGGCCAGCACTTTTGAGCATATATACGATTGAAGTTCATGCAGATATATATAGACGACATTGATATGCCGCCAACTGAAGGAAGTTCACAAGGGACAATAATAGCTATAGGCATCAGAGAGCACTAGTGATTAATTAGAAAAGTTGAACACATGGTTCAGTCATGGCTGCTGCTATACATGCATGTTAATCTATAGGGTATTAATCCTTCATTTCAGGACAAATGAATAAACTGAGGTTTTATATGTAACACTTATTCTCACACCCTACTTAAACCTCAGTCATATTTTCATAGATATAATATGGCATGGAGGAAATTAATTGAGAATATACATGAAAACTGATCATGATTAATTAAATTCCTAGCTTGATATGCATACAGAGAATTTTCGATGACCATTCCTTCAAATTACGAAATGGAATCATACTGTTATATCATAGATTTCTACTGCAAGGCATGATGATGAACCCTAGAAACCTCTCATTAATGATAACAAATTGTCTGGCTCTCGCATATAAAAAGCTCTACGGTTTCTTTCTCGGATAATAAAACAAAGCAATAAACTTCCCAAAAACTTCTTAAGTTCCTTATCAAATAACAGAAAAAGAATGACCCAATTTAGCTCTCTATGTGCCAAAATAAAGCTAGCTATTATAACAAACATAAGACTACAAGACTGCGCGCATCAATACTAAAAAAGTATAGGGTCATGAAGATGAGATGAGGGCCCATGCAATAGGTCAGATTTTCTACAAAACTAGGGGAAAGTTTTCATCACAGAGATCTAGAAGCATCCTTCCCCTTAGATCTATGAACCCCCTAGCTATGTATATAAGGTTCGTCCTCATCTAAACAGAACATAACGATCACGTGTAGATTAAGTTTTGCAGGAGCATTTAAACAGTTACCATCATATTATGAGCAATGGGGTTCATTCCCTCGTCACATTCATGCACGTCTATTCAACTACCTAAATTTTTATTGTTTTGCAGGAAGTGGTTGGCGTAGAATCCCCCTATATGTGTATATATTTTCATTAATTACTTTGGTTATCATGCTAAGTGAGAAAAATCTTAAGTTTAAATCTCTCATTTTAAGTAGTATAGAATAATTAGTATAACGCACAAACTAAGAAATTAATAATTTTTTGTTCTTTTGGTACTGAATATTGCCAGCATGACCCAATGCATGCAAGACTGCTGGACTTTTTTTTTTTTCTATTCTCTGTTTGGAGAGAGAAAGTGGGGGAAAGTTTGAAAAATTCTTTGCTTAACCAAACACGAAACCCATTTCTTTCTTCCCACCCGGCAAGGGAACGGATAAACGGGAGAAAAGCGACTTCGAGTTCAACACCAAACCAGAAAGCAATTTCAAGATCAACCCACAAAAGAAAAAAGTGAAAAATAATGCACCAAAGCACACACATTCACATGCCACATAAAGTACATTAAAATCAAAAACCAGAGAAAATCTGGATTGAAATTCGAAACATCCCCAATATCATATGCAATCTTGCTGCAGTTTCTATCCTCATTTCTATGTTTTCTAAAACAACAATGAGAACAATCTAGAAAATCTATGATCACAAATGGAAGCTTCTAGAGAGAATGAAGCTTCTTTTTTCTTTTTCTGTTTCTTTTTTTTTTTTTAATTTCAAGACCTTGGAGATGGGAAAAATTGCGTACCAGCAATAAAAGCGTTGAGTGGAGTTGGGTATAGTGAAGGATCAAGCAAATTGACACCACCAGGGTTGCTGGAAGAGCCTGCTGCGGTGACTGTTGGGGTGGTGGCCGTGGTGGCGGCAGTTATGAGGTTGAGCTGCTGATGATGAGAGCTCTCTGCACCGCTGCTGGTAGTGTAACGACTTTCCGGACCTTGATCGTATAGAATTCCCTTAAACACGTGTCCTCCAATGTTCACAGCCGTTTGATACGCGTACTCCTCATCCTCATCGTCCATTGCGCTTACTTTTACACACCGGAAGACAGCTGGCGAGTTTACTTCCGGAGGGAATTGTCCCAGTTCCAACCCTAATTCCAAAATTCCAAAATCATAACAATTCAACACCAAAAATTTCTAGAACCTTACATTATACTACTTCAACTAGTTTCACGGGTTGTTGATAATATGAAATCAAAATTTTTAATGATTTCATGTTCTTTTTCGTCAGTTTTACTAGGAAACAGTGGGAAATGGATGGAAAAGAAGAAAAGAGAAAAGAAAAGCAAAGTGGGTATTACTATGGAGTATTATAGTATATGGAGAATACATGGAGGCGGACTTGCTCAGACACACGCAAAGGATATGATTTTGTTGGGTATAAAATTCTTCAATAGATCTTATCAAATCGAACTTTATTTTGGTACAATTATTCAGCTTCTTGAAAATTTTTCTTTCATTTTCTGTTTGTATTGAAAACTACAACTTTACCTGACGTACTAGAGGGGAAAAGAGTGCAGGCAAGAGAGGACGAAGCGCCTTGACTCTCTCTCTGCCTTTTTGGATGCAATTGTTGTTGTTGCTGCTGCTGCTGCTCTTGTTGTTGTTGTTGTAAAGCCGCGAGCTGTTGCTGGCGTTCGCGCCTTTTAGATGCAGGTACCCAAGTGCTCTTGACGTGGGTATGGCACTGGAACCCGCGGCTTTTGCAACAAGTCCGGCATCTCATATGGACACAATCTTTCTTAGCTTGGTTTCCGCAGTCCTGGCAGTTCATGCCCCCTTGCCGACTCATCGCCGAGGATCTGGGATCATCGGAGACGATGAAGTTTCTCCCAAACGAGGAGGTGAAGTTGGTGGTAGTTTGCTGGTAACACTGCGGCCATATCTCAAACCCCTGTTTGTTGTAGATCTCTTGGTTTCTGTACAGATAGAGACTCTCTTCTTTCTCTGGTTTCTCTTCTCTTCCACCTAGATAGAAGAAGCCGGCCATTTCTCACATCCAAAAGCTGAAACTAACTCCAATTTGGACCAAAAATCCATAGCAGAAGGACCCTATTTAGTACACTGGGAGATCCGTACCTCTAGGATTTCTGGGTCTTTATGGGTTCTCAGTCTGTGGAAGCCTTTTCTGGTGGGTTTTTAAGAGACTGTATGTCTGTGAGTGTTTGTTGGGTTTGTTCTGATTCTGACTTCTCTCAATCAATACTAAGATAGGAGAAACTGTATCTGATTTTTTTATTTTTTTAATCCTTTCTTTTACTATTTGATAAAACCTTTTACTACTTAATTCTTAAGCAGAAAGAAATTCTAAATCTCTTCACAACTTGTAATTTAATGGCAATCAATTTTTTTTCTCTTTAGCAATGTTTCTATCTCTAATGGTGTGATTTACCAATAAAAAAAGGGGCACGTTTTGTACCAAAAAATGTTAAATAATTTAAAGTTTTATATTTAAATAACATTATATTGCATAGGCCTTTTGTTTTGTAGTTAGTGTGTATAAAAAAATATTTTTTATTTTATAGTTTATATAATAAAATAAAAATAATTAATAATAATTTTACTTTTATTTAATA